GTGTTTGCCCGGCGTGCTAGGCGTTGATTCTAGGGGTCGATTCCACGGTTTTTTCAAAGGCAGCTTGAGAGGAATGGTTTCCATTCATTCAGCTAACCGTTTCCCTGTTTTTTTGTGTGTCCTTAAAGATGGCAGGTGTTCTTACTTTTCCTATTGAACGTTAGCCACTGGGGAGAAGAAACTGAGCGGGAAGTGAAATACGTACATGTGTCTTCGGCAAATCCACTCAGCAAGTGAGAGCTGTTGTTCACCTCCGCACAAACATGAAAGTGGACAGACCTTTCCAGAGATGGTTCCACCCCCCCCTGGCCTCCCCATTTGTGTTGGACACGAGGGCCTTATCAAGCTGCTTGTGGAGAAAAACTAGGGGAATGGGGCGAGCCGGGTGGGAATCGAATGAAACTCTCCTAACCATGCTCCAGCTTGTGACCTTGGGTAAGGGCAACCCTTTGCAGCGAACCAACTTGTCACTCAAAGCACAGCATGTCACATGACGCCTAGGATTCCTGACCCGCCGAGTTTTGCAGGATGGCCGGAAGACCATGAAGGGACAACTCCAGTTGGTATCCTCTTGGTTCTTTTAAACCTCAAGCCCTTTCATGCCCTATCCCAGTTCTTGGGGGTTGAACATAACGGGTGCCCTTTCAATTGGGAACTTCTATGGTGCCTTTTTCTGTTTCATGCGGGTTTTGGGGGAAACCGAGAAAAACGGCAAAGGCTGAATGAGCCCTGGTCCAACCAGCATGCGCCGTAAAACCTGCCAGGGTTGTACACCGGCTCCATGGACCCCTTCAAAGAAGACTCCATTCATAGTTTGACAAATTTATGGCAATCTTTGGCATGAAACGAACTCACGCGCCTTTTGGGATTGCTTTGTTCGTGCATGTTCCGCAAGGAAGGTCCCTCTTCAAAGGATTCCGCTTCCAAAAGCCAACAGCTTTTGGCCCCTCGGCCTTGAAGCCACCTGGAGGTGCTGTGCTGGGCGCTGCGGACGAGGCATCGCTCAAGTGATGAGGATGTGGTCAAGGCTTGGATCCGAGCAGGTTGATGCCACTTGTTGAATGGCCTGGGGATCTTCATGGATCTTCCAAGCCAGTTGGTTTCATGTTGGTCCGGGTGTTTGGCTGTTTGACCGCCAGAAGGGCCAGCCTGTTTGGGGGTGAACATTGCCGGTAAGGTTGGCAAGAAGACGCCATATCTTTCAGAATCCCCCATCTCAGTTAGACTGCTCCCTGGCATCTGTTGGACTTGTATTTCTTCTCACGCTCGGCACGGTTGCCCTCTTCTTTTTTTGAACTTGCCAAGCAGCGGTGGGAACCCTTTCTGCCTGCCTCTCAATCGAACATCAAAAGGATGTCGGGAAAACTGGTGCAACCAACCCCTAGCAACGATCCAATGATAGTCTTTTGACAGAAAGGGGAAGTTAAGCGAAACCAAAAGGGCCTAGCGACCCCGTTTCGGGCAGCTTGTTATGCTGTGTAAGCAGCTCCGCAGTGTCAGTGTAAATCAATCTATTCCGATTGGGCAGTACCTGCTACACTACGTGACAAGCGGGCTGGTGCCTTTGTTTTGAATGCGTGTCGGGCCACTTGCTAAGCGGCATCAAACTGTCACGTGTAGCCAAATTGGTTGTAGGGACCATTTTCTAGCAGTTAGGTTGCTTGGCGGCGGCTCTCCACGTCGTGGCCTAGTTATGTTTGAGTTCGGCAGGTCCTGCAGTGCCTCTTCTTCCTCCGTGCAGCATCCCACTGCGCCCAAGTCTGCTCTATGTCCAACTCGGAGGCGGAGGACCGGCACGTGGGGCCATCGGGGAAGCTTCCTGGAGCTTCCATTTGCTTAAGAATATTTTGGTGCATCCATTTCAAGCCCATAGCTAATGACTATACCCCCTATAGATCAACCTGTTTATTACTCGGGGGGGTGCTCCCCTCCAAAAGTGAACCACCATAAAAACCAGGGGCGCCCCCGTATTAATATCTTGGTGGCGCCCAGCCACCCGGTTCCTTAGCTTTTTAGCCTTTTAGTGTTTAGTGGTAGTTTCCATTTCACCCACTAAAAGTTAAGCTCTTAGCGGGGAATCTGAGGGCCCAGATACGTTTCGGTTTCCCCTGTTGGTTTTAAAGGGAATCGATTGCACTACTGGGAATATTTATGTTTACTTTTTCCAGGGCGGAAATGCAAATGGAAGCCTTTTGGTTGCTTGAGATTGCCAATCCTGAAGTGGTAGACGGGACTAGTCCTGGACCTGCCTGCTGCAGTCTTCCGTGCTCTTCTGGGTTCCTTTGCACACTCTGGAACCATTCGCTTGGTTTCTACCCCAAGTCAGACGTGGAACTCGTTTTCCTTTGGTTTCTTGAGATACCCATCCTGAAGTTGATAGACAATTGAGCGAAAGGGTCGGCGGAAGCTTGAACAATTTCAACTCAATTAGAAGGAAAATTCCAAACACAACTCAATTGGGGAATGGCTTCCTTTGATCTGAGAATCCGTTAGGTTTCTACCTCAAGTCCGATGTCGAAATCGTCAGTTTCCTCTGCTTTTCCAAGCCATGGTTGCAACTGGCCGAACCCCGGGAGGAGCTCGTGCTATTGCAGAGGGATCAGCTGATTGCGGCACATGCCTCGTGAGCCGAAGGCAGTTGCCTGAAAAGGCTGTGCAAACATTGGTTTTTCATTTTCTGTTCCAAAGGAAGCCGCTTCAAGTCAGTTCCATCCGTTTAACATATTTAAGGTGAGTGTCCATTAAGTTAAGTGGGATGATGGAAATAATGAAATATGGGGGATCCTGGACCACCAACGAGAAGCGGAAGCCTGGGGGGATTCATGATATTCCCCGTTTGTCGCTTGCTTTGGAGCGGGCCGTACGTGCTTGACTCCTTGGTGGGGCCATCCCTTCTTCGGATTGGATTGCTATAAAGGAAGGCCACACGCGAAGTCAGGTGACTAGCATCAGGGTACTTATTCAGGAGCGGGCTCTGTCGAGCTCCTCTTGGCTGCCCTCCCCAGTTGCTAGTCAATCGTGGTGCCAGCAACGCTGGGTATCATCCGGTTTTTGCCCCTGCGCATGGGCACAATCCTTTTTTTTGGGTAACGTCCACATGGATTCAGGAATTCACGCATCCCTTTTGCGGCTTGCTGTGGAGCTTGCCGTGCGTGTTTAACTCCTTGGTGAGAGGTTGGACCATCTGGTGGGCATAATTACCGTTCTTGCGATTGCTGCAAAGGTAGGCCACATTTTGTGCGCCCGCAATTTCAGAGCACTCATATGTGGGGCCTTGTTCGTTTGAGCTAGGTTAAGCCATGTTGGCCCACTGGCCGAAATGTTTCGGTACAACCCATGAGTCCTCTCTGTACAGACAGAGCATGAGCCTACGCGAATTCAGGTGACTGGCGTTAGGGTGAAATTGAGGAGCGCGCTATAGCGGGCTCCTCTTTCCTGCCTGCCCAGTTGCGAGTCGATCGTAGTGGGGGCGGGGTCGGGCATCATCCAGCGTGCAAAGTGTGGGTCCTTTCCCATGCTAGCGGAAGATGTCCAGGCCTAACAGCCGCCTGATGCTCACAATCCAAATTGTTGCATGTGCACAACGCCGATCCAAGCTCTCCCGGAGTAAGGCAAACTGGAACTGGAGAACGGGTCAAAAATAGATTCACGTGTGTGTGTGTGTGTGGGTGTGTGGGTGTGTGGGTGTGTGGGTGTGTGTGGGTGTGTGTGTGTGTGTATGTGGGTGTGTGTATGTGTGTGTGTGTGGGTGCGTGCGTGCGTACGTGCGGGCGGGCGGGCTCGCGGGCAGGTGGGCGTGTGTGCGTGCGTGCGGAGCCTTTTTCGCGGGGTTGCTTCAAGGAGAACCCTAGAGAAAACTATCCATTTTGAGGTCTCCAGCTTTTTGACAGCAACCCATGGTTACATCTTTGAGACGTTGGGAAAGCCACAACTATGTACTACAACCGGGTAGGCAGACCGGGCCGAAGACGAAGTGCGGCAAACTGTTGCAAGGGTAATCCGCCAAAAAGGTTTCGACTTGAGGGGCACTCAACACTACGTTCAGGTACACTCAATTCGCATTTTTGGGCGGATGTCCCCTCCGGTGGGATGCAATCACTGCGGCCCGAAGAAGCCCGTAATGCAAAACAAAGGTTGAGGCGGTTGAGGGCAGTTTGGTCCGGTAAAGCAGACTTAGACAGTTTCCAGCACTTCGGACTAGGCCCAGGGACGTTTCAAAGAAGCATAAAGAAGCTTTGAGGCGGGTGAACCCCAACTCTTAGATCTTCGGGTGTAGAGGGATTGTTCGACATGTCAGCTGAAATTTCTTGAAATGTTTTTTTCCCCACAAAAAGGCTGGGGTCAAAGCTCAGACTCGAGCTCTTGGGGTCTCAATGCACACCTCAAAGGTTGCGACAGAATCAGTTGGAAGAGGTTTGGTCTGGGCCCAGCGACCTTTGAGTTTACACTATTCACTCCTTGAGTTCCTGGACTTTAAACTTCCATTTTGGTGGTGAATGAAACAATCGGATTTTTTTTTTCTCCGGCCAATCCACTCAGGAAGTAAGACTCTCATGTTTGGATGAAGCGCCCAAGCCGCCAAACGAACGAACGTTCACCCGTCCGTCGCAAGTTGGAGTTTTCGCTCAAAGTGCGGTAGGAGGCGAGCATGAAGGGCTCCAATCCGCTTGCGGTGGATTTGATATTCGGTCTTTGGCTCCTTTCTTACACAATAAGCTCAAACGAGGGGCTACTAAGGCAAGAGCCTGGAGCACCCGACAGTCTGGCATGACCTAAAGCATTTGACTTTGAAAGCAGTCTTACTTTGAGACTCTCCAACGAGGGCTAAGTTCCCTAGTTGAAGCCATTGTTCTTTTCACGCGCATTTCCCCCTGTCGGTTTCAAGGGAATCCAGGAAAGGGGATGTTTTTTTAGTTTTTTGTTTTCCAGGGGTCGTCAAAGCAAATGGAAGGGACCCCAGTCTTGGTGTTACGTTCGGACGGGGTTTGTTCGGAGCCCAGGCCCAGCTTGAAGAGGAGATGCAGAAGACCCGCGTCTTGCCACTGGAGGAGACTGGCGAAAGGGTAGGTCATACTGAAGGACGAAATGCAGCACTGTGAAACCATGGGCAACCACGCTTTGTTGGCAGGTACAGGGGAATCATCAGAAACCAGGGGTTCTTAGGTGGCGCAGGGTGTTGCGCCACAGGAAGGGGGAACCACTTAGATTGCCAAGTTGCCGTTTTGTTCAGTCAGTGTTGCTGGTGGTTCGTGGGGGAAAGTAGATAGAAAAAAGCAGCAACTGGCGATCCAGGCATTTCTTACTTCAGGGGTCGAATTTGTTTAACATGTGCATGTGTTTGACCGGAAATGTTTGCCTTGACGTAGGAGACAGTCTTTGTTTTTGGAAACTTCTGTAGAACGCCTATGGCTGGTTCCGTGATTATCCCAGGCGCTTGTGCCCTTTCGTCATTTTTTGGGAGTTATCCTTTTCCCCAAAGCTGGGCTTGAGGTTAGTACCTGGGTTGGGTGCCAAGATTGTGGGGGGAAGTGGTTCATTAGGGGGTCCATGGGTGCACACATGCAGGATGCAGGGGGTTCTATTTTGCCATGTTGCCATTGCACATTGCCCGGACGCATGCTTCACAATTTCCTATATTTCCCTTGTTGGAGGTTTTAAACATCGCCTTTTTGGCCCAAAGGTGCGTGTCCCTTCCTGGGTGGTGATGTTTTAAGGGGAAATATGGCCATGAATCTGAATAGGGAACCACCTCAAAATTGATCGGTGGACATGAGCCTCCACCCAAATGTCCACCAAAGGGTCCCTTAAAATAATTCATAGCCATGGGAGCCCGGTGCTTTGCCGCTTCTTTGCACTTCTGGCTCACAGCGACGTAGCTTTCAGTCTGTCCTCTCGGTTTGGTTTTCCTCTGGGCCACGGTTTGTTTGAAAACCACCGGGAACAATGCCTTTTCCGAGCCGCATGAGTTGTTGTGTTTAAACCGGGCTTTGAGCCATAGCCCAGTTCCGGGTGTTTAGGCCGCAGATATAGGGATAGAGAAAGACATAGAGATAGATTAGACTGCATTGGGTTAAGTTAGATAGACGAGATAGATAAGATGGACAGGATAGGATGGGATAGGATAAGACAATACACAGACAGACAGACAGACAGACAGACAGACAGACAGACAGATAGACAGACAGACAGACAGACAGACAGACAGACAGATAGATAGATAGATTAAAAGGTAGCTGAATGGATGGACACATACATAGATACATAGCCAGGTAGATAGATAAATAGAGAGACAGAGGGAAATTTGGATGGATGGATGGATGAATGGATGGATGGATGGATGAAGACGAAGAGGGAGGCAGTGAGAGAGGCAAAGAGAGTGAGACGACAAGTAGAGAAAGGAAAGAGAGAGAGCGAGAGAGAGAGAGAGAGAGAGAGAAACGGGGAAAGAGAGATATTACGTACCTGCACGCGCACGGTAGGAGCGCAAGAGGGTGTTCAAGGACCTGCAACGCCACGGCCACGGCAATATGTTGGCCTTTCACAAAAATGATGCTGCCACAGCCGTTCGCGGCAACATCCTGCAAACCAGGGGGGCGTGCTGGGTGAAGTAGTTGGCAAGTGCCCAAAAGCGTCCCCCTACTAAACCCACGCTGACAGATGATGTTTGAGCACAGAGCTAAGAGTGATTCTCATTGGGCCTACGGGTGCCTACTCAAACCTGCCAATCCCTCATCCAAAGACCCCTGGCCATTGCTCAGGTCGTTTTCACCCGGTGCCAGCCCCAGCAAGTTGCGGCAAAGGGTAGGCTCCCTTTGCGGTTTCGAGATTTCATGTTGCTCCTCAGCTTCATTGAGGCCTCTGGGTTCTGCGGATCCGGGCTGGCGGGCGGGGGCGGCGGAGGCCAACCACAGCCAGCCGGGGGCGATTTTGGGTTCCGAGGACAAGAACCCATTGGAGGAGCAATCCGCCAGTCGGCTCAGGCGGAAGGATTCGAATGGGAAAGTCCAGGGTCTATTGTAATATAGCAAATCGCTTTGCCGATTTCACGGTGAGCTCACCTGGGGATAGCACAAGCTCACCAATGAAGATTAGTCATTTGCCCAGATCGCGTGAATCAGGGAAGCAAGCCAGCTGCTTCTGTTTTCAAATGCCAACTAAACTGATTGCCTCCGGTCTCATATTAACCGTTCATTGCGCCCGCTGGCTACAGTGGTTAAGCACGTCTTGGCTTGCGATGTGCGGTCGCTTTTGTCCAACTGGTAGGAAGGACGCATGTCATGCAAATTGATGGATGTTTGTTCGTGACCCGTTTGCGGGCAAATGTGCAAAGCAAGCCCAGTCTAGCAGGCTGCGAACCTTGTGCTGGAAAGCCATGTAATCTCAATCGGGCAAGAGCAAATTGTCCAACCAAGCTGATCATGGTTATCAGAAAGCAAGGACATCGAATGCGTTTTATAAGAACGCTTCTCGCAATGCGCCCTATGTTAATTTACGTTGACGTTTGTGTGTGTGTGTGTATGTATGTGTGTTTGCTGGAAATGTTTGCTTCCCAACGCTTTGCGTGCAATCTGGCTCGGCCATGGTTCCATGCTTCTTTTAGAAGGGTCGCGTGTTGCTTGTTCTGCGTGAACCCAATGAATCAAACATACACAACCAAGAGCTCGTGTTGCATGCGATTTACTGTTCCGCTGCTAGTGCAGCTTCCTTGTTCAACCAGCAGTTGCCCAAAAGCAAGTCGGACGTCCAAAGGCCTCAAAAAAAATCATCAAGGTCTTGGTCTTTCAGAAAAGCAAACACTCGAGCACCTTTCGGATCAGAGACCGCACAATTCAAGGTCTTTTTGCGTGAAGAGCTCCGGCGCAGGTCTTTCGGCCAAGACCTTGATACAAAATAAAATGTCTTTGGGATCCCAGGGCAGTAAGACTCATGCTTGCAATGTCCTTTTGTCTTGGGGCTCATGTCGTTTTGCCTTGTAAGCCTCAAAACGGTTTTCGTAGAAGTCACAGATTGTACCAGCCTGGGTGGATTCCGCTCAGGTTTCCTGCGGAGAAAGGGTTCCCTCGATTTTGGCAACCCACCCCAGATGCGAATTCCGATCCAATCACGTCGCTGATTGCCGATTCCAATGGCGCTATGAAGTTTGGCAGTTGGAAAACGTCTTAGGGGACTTTGTGGGCATGCTGTTCGCCAACACGTCCTTTTCCAGCTCCCAGTTGGCCAGTTGCGCCCGTTTTCCTTTTTTCCCCAACAGCTGAAAGCTTTGGGGTCTCAGCAGAGATAGGCTCCGGGGCGGTTCGGGGCGGTTCGGGGCGGCCCTAAGGAAAGGCTCCACGAGGGTTCCACCAGGGTTCCGCGTTGGGTTCCGCGAGGTTCTGCGAGGGCTGTGGGGTGGTGCGAGCACTAAAAAGAGCACCGCATGCTGTTGGGGATGTCACCTGAGCTTATTTTGGGAAGGGTTCCACTTGAAACTCAACCAACCAAAGAGGGATGCCCTTTTTCCCATGGAATCCACTGGGCATCTGAGAGCTAAACATCATGGCTACGTGCTGAGGCTACGCTGGCCTTTCAGCATCTCATGGACAGCCGCCCTGAGCCTAGAGGTTCACGCATTCCTCGGATCAGGGGGGCTATCACCTCGCTACCCTTAAGGCCTTATTAGCGGCCTGAGCTTATCCTAGGCTGCAGGACTTGCCCGGCTAGAGGTCCATGAGGGGAGAGAAATGAATGAGAACCCAGGCAAGTATTGATCAAAGTGCCACCCATGAAAGATGGAGTTGAGGTCCTTGCATCTGGAGATTTCAGTCAGATAGGTCAAGCAATCGGCGGCTTACAGTGCAGCAGGTGTTCTTGTGCATTTTCCACTTCCCATCATGTAATGTATCTCATGCACTCGATAGGGGTCAACTATACGATTTTCACATTTGGCATGGGGGGTTCATTTTTCGAGATCCCTACGACATGGAAACGTGCAGCTGAGAAAGGACGCTCATGATGCCAACAGTATACAAAACAGGGGGGGGGGTAAGACGGGACGCTTCTGGAACCTGTCGATGGTCCATAAGGGTTGTCTAGGTGAACCAACAGCAAACCATTGGAAGATTTCAGAGAAACACCATGAGTCAGCGCCCACCCTTTTGCTTGCATTGAACAGGGAAGAAGAAGCCCCCCGCCCCCCGCCAAAAAGATACATGTTTTTCCAGTTGGAACCAAGCTGCCTGCTCACTTTATGGCGTGAAGCGCTCAGGCTTGAATTTTGAAGGTATCTCAGTCCAGTTGGCCAGTTCCTTGTTTCGCTTTGCCCAAAATCGACCTGGCCCCGAACGATTCACCAACTGCTCCCCATGGCACTGACGGTCTGCCCAGGTGATGTTTCCACGCCTGGTTGCCGGTGAAGCTAATTTTCACTCCATGTTGGATAGACCCACTCTACGCCACACGGAATATCAAACAAGCTACGCACTAATCCTTATGCTAGATATTTTGTTGGGGTCTTTACAACTCGGTTTGATAAGCATCGCAGTGAGGCCTACCCTTTGTCCCTTGACCAGGACAATTGTCAACAAGCAGCCCAGTCAAGATCCATCAGAGTTGATGGGAGGACATGCGTAGTTCCTTTACATACATGGGCAAGTTGCCCCTCCATATGAATGCGTCAATCCACATGCAAAGCAAAACAATGATTTGCAATCATCCCCTCTTCCTAATAACTAGATCCCCCCCAAGAATAGCAAATTGTCCCACCTACTCTTAGAATAGGTCATTCTAAAACCACGATTCAGCCAGCGATGCCCTTGTTTGGAACTGATTTACTGGAAATCGTGCTTCTTGCTAGATTAGGTCCAGCGGTTCCTACGGTTCGGACGGTTCCTATTTCCAAACACTCGCTTCGATTGGGCTCCCGGTTCCCTTCCTAAAACTATGCAGATGGATCAGCTGTCAGGCAGGGCCGAAGTCGCCGTTGCAACTGAGGTCATAGCTACTTGAGACCGTGAGGAACTTTTCCTTGAGCCATCCGGCAGGTAGCTAGAGTTCGAATCGCCATGGCGATGGTTGCATTTGAAGGTTGACTTGTTTTGCCCACGGGTAGAATCAAGCCAGCTTGTCATGGTCATGATTATCTTGTAGACTTTGGTGGTGGTTGTCTAGATGCCGATTTTGGTCCATTGCTGGAACAGGGGCGGTAAGGTACCTTTGTGGGACCTTCAAAAATTGGGTTTTGGCCAGCTGTTGATTTCGGGAAATCAGCAACCCCTGCAGCGAGCACGTATGGAAGGGAGGCGTGCCCCCAGCAAAAAAAACAACTTGCGTACTTGGGTATCTGAGACGGTATCTGCATCTGAATCTACACCTTCTCCAACGTGAAGCTGGTAGCCGAAGGGAGGGTGCTTTGGGCTGCCTTCCCCAGAGCAAATCAAGGTATGTATTTCCAAACGTTTCAGAGCCACCTTTCTTTACACATCATTACTGCACTTTGACGTTTCGCGCGTGGTGCACACCATGGCAACAGCACGATGCCCCGGCTGAGATCCATCAATTGGAATCGGGCGTCGCTCTTGTCGCTTGCCGCCCTCGGCAGTCAATTCGGTGTGTGGGGCTTGAGGTTCAGTGCCATGTGACCGCCCTCTTGCGGGGTTGGTGGCCCAAAAGGACCCAAGCTGTAATGTGAGGCTCTGACTGCTGCGAAAGCCCCAAGTCCTGCCGCTAGCACCGCTAGCGTCACGCGGAGTTCTGTTTTGCCCGAGAGAGGCTTGAAAACTCGTGTTTTACATAGACGTGAGATCGTGGCATCCGTCGAACCTAGTTTTTAAGCCCAGACCTTCCGTCCATCTCCTTTGTCATGCTGTGTCGGAGGGGACTTGAGGCTTGGTATTTTTTTTGTTTGATGGCTTCGAAGGGACATGAAAAGGAACCCCCCCCCCCCACAATTTCCCCCTTGTTTGACCATATCCATGTGGCAAGCCCTTCCGAACTTCCCGAAGTTCGAGGTCAGGGGTTGCTTCCCATATACACGAACCAGGGAATCAAATCCTCAAACCACCGATCAATGTGGGGGGGGGGGTTGCCTTTTTTTGTTTGTTTTAGGGTGGGGGGTGAAATCCTTGACAACAATAGGACTTGCCCACAACATTGATACTTGAAACAGTTCCGTGAATCCACAGCAGAACAAACAGCGCCCTGTTTTCTCGTTGGCACTGGGGGTCTGGGAAAAGGCTTTGCCACTTGAGCCGCTTAAAGACCGTTCATCCCGCGTCTGTCAAACAGACTGGCGAGGTTCGCCTGAACCGTGGCCTCGAGGGCACCTTGTCGCAAAAAGACGTGCGCAGAAAGATACAGCGTTTCCTTTGAGCACTTGGCGCGACATATCCAACAAAGGAGGGTTTTTTGTTGTCGCGTTGTCTCTTTTGGTTGAGGAAAAATAACGATCCAGCTGTTTTCACCCGAAAACACGTGAGAGTACCCGGACAGCACCCCGGATTTCGCTTGCTTGCAGGGCTCCATTGTAGAAAAACATGAAGATGACCATCTAAATGGCGGTGGAGTTGGAAGCCACCAAGCCCCAACCGAAAATGTGAGACACCACGCCCCCAAGAAACGAACAATAGAAAAAACAAGGTTCACAAGGGGCCGCCACGGCTCAAATGCGTCACGGCGACCTGTGCGACGTGTTCCATCCGAGGTTGGAATCGCCTTCGAGGCGCGGACCGCGGATGAGATGCAAATCGAGCGAGGCGGTGGGTGTGCAATGTACCCCTTGGTTTGCTTTGCTGGAGTCTCCGTGTCCCTTCAAAAATAGGGGTCATGACCGGGCTTTCTTTCGGGTCATGACCCCTTGTTGGAAGGGTCATGGGGGCTCTAGGTGGATACCCTAGGTCCCCCAGTAGTGCCCTTTTACCTTTTCTTCTTGTTTTTTTCTGTTTTTTTCTCGGGAGGGTGTCCCTACTAAAATAGACCACAGAAAAAAAGTTGGTACCCTTGTTCTAGCCTCTCTACTGGAGGGCCTAGTTTGCTTTGGTGGGATTTGCGCCCGGGTTCCTTTTTGATAGGAGGTGGCTGACACCCAGGGACTCGAGTTTTGTGTCAATGGGAGAAGTTCACCGTGCAGATTTCCATCAGGTGCATCTCCCCCTAGTGAAAGATCGCAATGCGCACCGCGCCACCTCTTGATCGACGTGTCGGGATTTCTGGCCATTGGAGCACTAGCAATGGCTGTCGGCTGGCAAGAGCTCTGGTGGACTGCGTCGTGCTCAAGCCAAGGCCTCGAAAGGTATGGGGACAAGCCATTGTCAGACTCAGCCTACGTTAACTTGTTGCCCCCGTGGATGCCAATCATCCCCCCTTTCAACCAGAAGCAAGCGCTTTAGGGACCCGGTCAAGTCCGAGGCAAACGAGCAACCTGCCCATCCAAGCATCGCACATGCCAAACCGGAGAGAACTTTGCCCGGATTTGGCAGGTAGGACGGAAGTAAGCAAGCACAGACGCTCCAGAACAGATGGTGCCGTTTCATTCCTTTTCCATTTTGCGCCAAAGATGATGGGCGCCTGCCGCCTGGTGGCTTGGGCTGCCAACATGCCATAAATACTGAAACATATGTCAATCGTGGCAGGCGCAGCTTACACCCCTTTGCCCCTGCAACTGTTTGGACAAGCACGGACAAATATCGTAGTCACAAAACCGGCTGTCATGTTGTTTCGCAGGGTTCGTCACATCCGCGCAGATGTGTGACAGAGCGTTCTCGTTCCGCCAGAGCGAGCGGGCGAGCCAGCGATAATCACAGAGTTGTCCTTTTTAGGTTTGTTTGATTATAAATAGATGGCACTGGTTCAGGTGGGGGTTCTTCCATTTACCAGGGCCATCTATTCTTCCAAAAGGCCACCTATGCAGCGATAGCGATGCTGTTGGACCATGACTCGCCGCTTCTGCAGCCGGCCGACGACCCTTTGCCGCGGCTGGCGCCTGAAGTGCCGGAGACGGAGCCAGAGCCGACGCTTGGCGAGCCCCTCCCTCCCTCCCTCCCTCCCTCCCTCCCTCCCTCCCCTCCCTCCCTCCCTCCCCTCCCTCCCTCCCTCCCTCTCCCCTCCCTCCCTCCCTCCCTCCCTCCCTCCCTCCCTCCCTCCCTCCCTCCCTCCCTCCCTCCCTCTCCCCCTCCCTCCCTCCCTCCCTCCCTCCCTCCCTCCCTCCCTCCCTCCCTCCCTCCCTCCCTCCCTCCCTCCCTCCCTCCTCCCTCCCTCCCTCCCTCCCTCCCTCCCTCCCTCCCTCCCTCCCTCCCTCCCTCCCTCCCTCCCTCCCTCCCTCCCTCCCTCCCTCCCTCCCTCCCTCCCTCCCTCTCCTCCCTCCCTCCCCCCCTCCCTCCCTCCGGAGGGTTGTGGAGGTTTCCGGATGTTGGGGATACCTGGGCTTATCAGGGGTCGATTCCTGTATTTCCCCTTTTTTGTGTGTGCGGTTTTAAGTTTTGGCACAAAGCTGAGTGTCCCTTGGGGCTGAATCGAGGCCTGGCAGCCCTCTGATTGAGCTGGTCTTCGAAGAAGCTGGTGACTCGACTGCTTGTGGCGGGTGGTTTTTTTCGGTTTTCGGGGCCCGGTGATCCGTTTGGGATTGGCTTCATTCGGAAAGCCACTTATTCAAAACAGATGGGGGCGTCCCCTAGTTTGAGACATAGATATTTCAGCTTTTGGTTGACAGTGTTGAGTTAGTCTATGGTCGAAGCGGGGACATTCGAGGTGGCAGATGAACATGACAGGCCAGTATCTTTGTTGGGAGCCATGTTTTGCAACAGCGGACTTCACCAAGCTGAATGCACTGCCTCAGGTCAACAATTTCGATAACAGGGGCCCTGAACCGGTCCGAACCTTGAGAACGACCGTGACACTCCCTTGTGGTGTGTGGCGCTTTATTTTCCCAAGTCATCACTTCAAGAGTCTGGCTGCCGGGGATGTCGCAGGACACTTTCAAAGGTGCCATTCTTTGAGCAGACCACATGGCAAAGCCAAGAATCCACTAGACATATGAGACACCAAGAGAACCCACCCACCCACCCACCCACCCACCCACCCACCCACCCACCCACCCACCCACCCACCCACCCACCCACCCACCCACCCACCCACCCACCCGACCAAGCAAACCGCGGAGGGAGGGACTCCCTACACGCCTCGCGCCCCTGAGGGTCGCTGGGCATCGAGTTCAAAGAGCTGGCAGCCCCCTTCGTGGTGGAGCAGGTCATTTCGTATCCAGAGACTGGCCACCTAAGGGCAGCCACAGGGAGACACTGGGCCCCACCAATGTTGATAGAGAGTGGACACTAGGAGTTATTTTTGTTTAAATCATGCTACAGAATTTGTTCAAGCTACCCTTGGTTTGGTTTGGATTTGTGATTTGGGAATTTGAGCCCCTGGTGTTTGTAGAGGGTAAATGGGAAGCCCCTTCACCACCAATCCAGACCTGGGTGCGAAGTTTCGAGACCCCACAAACCCTCTTCCTTCTTTTCTGTCTGTGTTTTGCGCCAAACGGCTTCAACGAGGGGGTGACCAAACGGGTGCCACACGGGCCGGGTGGCCCCTTGCAGGGGTTCCACTTTTTGACCTGCACATCCTTCAGCTCTTTGGGTTTAAGTATCCCAAAAAGGGAGTCTCTGGGTTTAAAGTCAAGAATGGAACCCTGGAGGTTTGTGATAGTAGAGGTTTGTCAAGAATGGAACCCTGGAGTCTGTCCAAAGCAGGGTTTTAAGTCTATTTGGTCGCCAATGGAAGCCCTGGAGGTGCATAGCCATGGCCTCGCCCACGGCCGCGGCCTGCTGAAAGGCGACCGCCTCGTTCTGGTGGAGGGCGCGGCGCTGGACCGCCTCACGCGCCTCCGGCCAGCGATTTGTTTTTTGCGCGGCGGAAGGGCGGCGTCTTTTGATGAGGAACCCACCAAGGACCCATGTTTTTTTTTTTTTACCCACAGCCAAATGACGATGCTTTCTCATGTGGTGTTTGTGCTCAGTTGCACGGGTGTGATCTTTTTGGAGGGTATTAGGTTGGTGCGAAGGGAACAAAATATGGGTGTGGGGTCAAAATGAAACCACCATGGGAAGGAATGGGTTTTAGTCATGGGTTCCATTTACCCAGGGTTCCATTTTGTCTCATGTGGCTTGTGGGCGGGCTCAGTTGCACCGGTGTAGTCAACCTCACCTTTTGGGCTCCAGAAGCCGAGCCTCCTTTGGGAGTGGAAGTTGAATGGCTTCCTTCAAGTAGCGTTTTGCATGCGGTGAAGGCTGGATGTTTCTTTTTGGACGGGTCCAGTTCACTCTTCTTTGAGGGTATGAGGTTGGTGCGAAGGGAAGAAAAACCTGGAATGCTTCGCTTCTCATGACCGAACCTGGCCGAACAAAAGCAATTTTTACCCCCGTCACACGGGGTGGACACCATGAGCAACGGAACCCGGCGGGGATGGCTGGAGGGAGATTGGGGAGGAAGTGGCCGTTTGAAGCTCAGGTGTGGGAACCTGTTCATGTCCTTTTGGTTATTTATTATTTATACTTTATCACGGACCCGTGGGATCCGTAGCGCTCGCGAACTCCTTTCATGGTCAAGTTCAGGGCGGTTTGGGTGGGCGGGAATGATCGAACGTTTTTCCTTGCTTGGGTTACGCTTGCTTTCTATTCGCACTAGCATCCGCCAGTATTATCATTAGAATTCTGTAACATTCTGTGCCATATGGCTGCTGGCTAATTACTGTTCATAGTGGCCATGGTCCTCCAAAGTGTCATCTCGGCGAGTTGTTGTTTCATGTTTCTATGATGTCTCTTGATGGTGTTTGTTTACCATCATCGAAGGTTGCTTTGAGCTGCTTCATATCCTGGTTGTTCTGTCGCATCTGCAGGTATTCTTGGTGTCCATGATCGCCCTCATGCCTTCCCTCCTTTTCTGATCTGCCTGGCTTTCACTGGCATTTGTGTTCAGTGGCGCTCTCTTTCTTCTTCTTTTCCTTACTTGCCCGACCTTTTGACCTTTTAGTTTTCCGGGTTTGGTCTAGTTTAGGTCATGACCCCAAAAGGTTAACCTTGTATTCTCAGGTCCTTTGGGCAAGTGAGTTTCCCATGGTTCAGACGGGTCGGGGCACCAGGTGGGACGACCTGGTGCAGAAGCTCACCCACCGGCCCGTGAGGGTGGCCTTTCATCGGCCCGAGAAGGTGGAGGAGGGCGGGTTCATGGCGGGCCTGAGCAAGATGCGAATGTTCCTTGACTGCTATTGGGCAACGCATCTTTAGACTTCAACTTTTTGGGAAATAAAGGTAAACCCTCAAAAAGTTAAACTTTTTGCAGGGGCGTCAACAGCAACCAAGGTTCGGCGTGGATTCGGGCCTCGACCTGGGCAAGGCCGAGGGACATGTTGTTGAGAATGGAAGTTGTGAGAGAGAGAGAGAGAGAGAGAGAGATTCTTCCAACTTGATGGATATATTCCACAGCCAGAGGTGCCCTGTTTTTCCCACGGCCACTGGGCTTCTGAGCAAATGATAAAGAGCCCTCCACTCATGATTAAGATGTCCTTTTTCGCAAGGATCCTTTCCAGGGGGACCCCTTGATTTATAGCTAGTGGGTATTATTGGTCAGGGGTCACATCAAGAGGGTGCGAAAGGCGAGGGCTGTTCGACCTGATGGATAGTGTTCCCCGCTCTGCACCATATTTTCGTTATACATCTGCGCATGTGTTGGCAAGTTGCCTCACAGGGATCTCTGTTTGCACGTGTGCGTGTGCGTGTGCGTGTGTGTGTGTGTGTGTGTGTGTGTGTGTGTGTGTGTGTGTGTGTGTGTGTGTGTGTGTGTGTGTGTGTGTGTGTGTGTGTGTGTGTGTGTGTGTGTGTGTGTGTGTGTGTGTGTGTGTGTGTGTCTCTGTGTGTGTGTGTCTGTGTGTCTCTGTGTGTCTCTGTGTGTCTCTGTGTGTCTCTGTGTGTCTCTGTGTGTCTCTGTGTGTCTCTGTGTGTCTCTGTGTCTCTGTGTGTCTCTGTGTGTCTGTGTGTCTCTGTGTGTCTCTGTGTGTCTCTGTGTGTCTGTGTGTCTCTGTGTGTCTCTGTGTGTCTCTGTGTGTCTCTGTGTGTCTCTGTGTGTCTCTGTGTGTCTCTGTGTGTCTGTGTGTCTCTGTGTGTCTCTGTGTGTCTCTGTGTGTCTCTGTGTGTCTCTGTGTGTCTCTGTGTGTCTCTGTGTGTCTCTGTGTGTCTCTGTGTGTCTCTGTGTGTCTCTGTGTGTCTCTGTGTGTGTCCCTGTGTGTGTCTCTGTGTGTGTCTCTGTGTGTGTCTCTGTGTGTGTCTCTGTGTGTGTCTCTGTGTGTGTCTCTGTGTGTGTCTCTGTGTGTGTCTCTGTGTGTGTCTCTGTGTGTGTCTCTGTGTGTGTCTCTGTGTGTGTGTCTCTGTGTGTGTCTCTGTGTGTGTCTCTGTGTGTGTCTCTGTGTGTGTCTCTGTGTGTGTCTCTGTGTGTGTCTCTGTGTGTGTCTCTGTGTGTGTCTCTGTGTGTGTCTCTGTGTGTGTCTCTGTGTGTGTCTCTGTGTGTGTCTCTGTGTGTGTCTCTGTGTGTGTGTCTCTGTGTGTGTCTCTGTGTGTGTCTCTGTGTGTGTCTCTGTGTGTGTCTCTGTGTGTGTCTCTGTGTGTGTCTCTGTGTGTGTCTCTGTGTGTGTGTCTGTGTCTGTCTGTGTCTGTCTGTGTCTGTCTGTGTCTGTCTGTGTCTGTCTGTCTGTGTGTCTGTCTGTGTCTGTCTGTGTCTGTCTGTGTCTGTCTGTGTCTGTCTGTGTCTGTCTGTGTCTGTCTGTGTCTGTCTGTGTCTGTCTGTCTCTGTCTGTCTGTCTGTCTCTCTGTCTGTCTGTCTGTGTCTGTCTCTCTGTCTCTCTGTCTCTCTGTCTCTCTGTCTCTCTGTCTCTCTGTCTCTCTGTCTCTCTGTCTCTCTGTCTCTCTGTCTCTCTGTCTCTCTGTCTCTCTGTCTCTCTGTCTCTCTGTCTCTCTGTCTCTCTGTCTCTCTGTCTCTCTGTCTCTCTGTCTCTCTGTCTCTCTGTCTCTCTGTCTCTCTGTGTCTCTGTGTCTCTGTGTCTCTGTGTGTCTGTGTGTCTGTGTGTCTGTGTGTCTGTGTGTGTGTGTGTTTGTGCTGGGTGTGTTGGTTCACCACGTTGGGGCCAAGAAGATCCGAGACCTCTCCAACATACCTTCGCGGCGCACCCGGACCTCCGTTTGATTCTTTGTGGGACATAGCCCTGAGGTCGCTCAGGTGGGCAGTGCGGGCCTGGAGCTGACTGGCAAGATGGGGGCGGCTGGCTTGGACCTGGGCAAGATGGGCCTCAGCGCAACGGCCTCCTTGTCCGGGCTTCTGGGCAGGGAGGACAAGGACGGGGCCCAAGCCGGCAGTGCGCTACAATGGTTCAATTTCTTCAGACCCGTTCAGAGGTGATGCTGTGGACCGGCCTTCGGGGTCTTCAATCAATCTAGGTCGCTTCGAGACAGATTGCTGACTTCCCTTTTGTTTTCCCAGGTTTGGGCCAAAAAGTGTTGGTTTCCCTTTAAACCCAGGTTCCGGTATCTTCAAAAAAGGCACACATTTTCTTGATTCCACAGGACGCCGACCCGGCCGCGGCTTCGGAGCCCGCGGCGGGCGAAGGGGCGGAGTTGCAGCAGCAGTTGGCGGCGGCCAGGAGGGCCGAGGATCCGTCAGTTTCGGTTCACTCGCGGTGGGTTTGCGCGTTTGGGTCGTAGGCTGTGATAAAGAGTGGGTTAGAAGTGGCCAGGCTATGCATTTTAGGGGAAGGAACCCACTCGTTCCACTTCCATTGGCTAAGTGGGCTGATTGGTGGATCTAGCCAGTGCATTTGTGAGAACCTTCCAGCCTTCCAGGTGCCAAAAAGTACTTGGACCCTTGACGGGCCACTTTGAGGTTTGTTTCCTTCAAAACTTGGTGTCACCTTTGCATGGTTGTCGTTGGGAAACTTTTTTGTTTTTACATTGTTGATTATTTTGTGGTTGAGTGGTTGAAATCCAGCCACTTAACTGCTAAAATTTGAGAATTTGTTTGCTCCCCTTCCAACGTCAACCAAGTTTGGGGCTGTTTGCGCATCCTAGATGCAAAATAATTTGTCCCACATGAGTTGGTCCAAAGGGTCTGCGAACAAATGCCAGAAGCCATACCTTCAGAATGCATGTCCCTTCCAGGAGTCTAAGGACCCTCGGCAAATCTGTTCTTTGAAACATGTTTCTCGTGCCAACCTCGAAACAGAGACTGACACCTTTCGGAATGCGAGCTTTACCTTGGAGCAGCCCTGCGGACGTCCAACCCAGGAAATGTAGATGCATCATGGCTCAACTGGCTGAGTTGTTCAAGATCACTCCCCCTTTTGACAGGTCCTCGTGGGTTGTTGTAGGGAAAGCAGTAAGCCGGGGGGGGGGGGCGGGGGTCAGGGCAAAAAATGGTTACGTTCAGCCTGACTGCGACATCAAAGAAAAAGCGAAAAGCTCGTTCACATGCACCCTCTCAGCGCTGCATATTAGCAACCCAAAAATTGCGGATTTGTATTTTGTCATCCCTTCTAACAAACTTGTAACCTGGTTTTTTCGGTAGGGCCCTTTTACCCTTTTTTGGGGAGGGTTCCCCTACTAAACTAGACTACAGAAAAAAGTTGATACCCTTATAATCTAACCTCTCTACTGGAGGAGCAACAAATAGGCCCTTTTGTTTGTCTGAAGGAGCAAGCAAAGGAGAGCCTCGCTCAGCTGCAGCGTGAGCTGGCAGCTGCCAAGCAGAGTGCAGCGCAGGCAGCGGAGCTTCGGGAGCGATGCTCGGCAGCGGTTCGGTGAGCTTTAGTTCTGCTTGTTTTGCGGGCAGGCACACGTGCAAACGCAAACGCATGGCTATATCCACTTGTATTCATAAATTACATACATACACGTATTTTTACAACAGAACAGCTATCTATGCACATTCAGGTCCTCTCTTTCCGAGTATCACGCCCAAGCTTGTCATCCAAATAAAGCACTGGGGAAACATGTTGTTTACTGGTTAGGAAGGCCGCGTTCCTTCTCTTCGGTCCTCTTTGGAATATTCTGTACCCAGATAGGCTCCTCCCTGTCTGGGCGCCACCAAATAAGCCGGTCAGCAGGAGAAATCCCTAGCTCAGTATTGTTCTAAATTGGAAATTGTAAGGGCATGTTTTATTGTTAGGGGGGACCTTTATTCGGAGGAAGAGATTGGTAGTAGCAGTTGCGCCTGCACGTGTAGGCCTGCGTGACTGAGCAGACCACAAAGGCGCTTGTTTCACATCCACGCAGGGAAAACACGGCACTGAACAATTGCGCCCACGCGCAATTAAACTGAACACGTGGAACATATATCACAACCTAAATGACACATGTTCGCCCTCCGCATTGCCACAGTGCTGCAGTCTTGTGGTCGGGTTGTGGTTGGTTTAGGATGGGTCTCGGGTTGGGTTTAGTGGGTTGGGTTGGGGCTGGTTTGGGGTTGTTCCCGTTCCCTGGGTCCTGTTGTGCTGTAGGGTCGATTTAGGATGGGTTTCGGGTTTGGGGTGGTGTGGTTTGGCTTAGGGTTGATGCAGCTTGGTATATGTGGGTTCAAGTTAGAACTGATTCAGGGTCGGTTGAGGGTTGGATTGCAGTGCAGGTTGCGTAGCGCTTTAGGGATGGTTGTGGTAGGGGGGGGGGCATGGTGGCGGGGAGGGGGCGTTACATACCATAGAGGGGAGGGGAACGTTGCAACGACGAGCGGGTGGCCAAGGATTAGCATCTGCGCAGCAAGCAGAGGAGCAGGCGAAGGAGGATTTGGCCCACACCAAGATGGAGCTTCAAGCCTTGTCTGGGAGGAGTGAAGATGCCAGCGCGCTGCAATCCGAGTTGGAGGCTGCAAAGAGTGCTGAAGCGCGGGCAAGGACAGCCTTGTCCACGCTGCAGGCAGAACTGGATGCGGCCAGATCAACTGCTACTGATGTGACGCAGCTTCAGCGCGAGTTGGAGGCGACCAAGGCGAGGAGTTAGGGACAGGTTTTGGCCACCTAACTTGTTTAGGGCAGCAAGGGGGCATCATGTTGGGTGTTTTTTAGTACGCAACATGCGGGGCACAGCAGAGGTCGAGCTGGCAGCTGCACAGGGGGCGCAAGCATCGAGTACCTCGTCAGAGACTTTGGGCATAGAACTGGACGCTGCGAGGCAGAAGGAGTCGCTGGCACAGGAGCAGATTGCTGAGCTCCAACGAGAACTGCAAGCTGCACAGGCTGCGCTCAGCGAGTCTGCGGTTCAAGCTGCCAAGGACGGTGAGGTAGAAAAGGCAATTGCTGCATTGCGGCAAGATCTGCAGACCGCGCAGGAGAGCAAGCAAACAGTGCAGAAGGAGTTAGAGCAAGCCCGCCTATCCCAGGATCAGGCCAAAGAGGAGCTCTGCAAGCTTCAAGGGCACTTGCAGGAACTTACCTCGCCCGACAGCAAATCCGTGCAAGAACTTCAGGCTGCCAAGGAAGGTGAGGCTTGCGCATTGGCGCAGCTGCAGGCGGCAAAGCAAGCAGAGGAGCAGGCGAAGGAGGATTTGGCCCACACCAAGATGGAGCTTCAAGCCTTGTCTGGGAGGAGTGATGATGCCAGCGCGCTGCAATCTGAGTTGGAGGCTGCAAAGGGTGCTGAAGCGCAGGCAAGGACAGCCTTGTCCACGCTGCAGGCAGAACTGGATGCGGCCAGATCAACTGCTACTGATGTGACGCAGCTTCAGCGCGAGTTGGAGGCGACCAAGGCGAGGAGTTAGGGACAGGTTTTGGCCACCTAACTTGTTTAGGGCAGCAAGGGGGCATCATGTTGGGTGTTTTTTAGTACGCAACATGCGGGGCACAGCAGAGGTCGAGCTGGCAGCTGCACAGGGGGCGCAAGCATCGAGTACCTCGTCAGAGACTTTGGGCATAGAACTGGACGCTGCGAGGCAGAAGGAGTCGCTGGCACAGGAGCAGATTGCTGAGCTCCAACGAGAACTGCAAGCTGCACAGGCTGCGCTCAGCGAGTCTGCGGTTCAAGCTGCCAAGGACGGTGAGGCAGAAAAGGCCATTGCTGCATTGCAGCAAGATCTGCAGACCGCGCAGGAAAGCAAGCAAACAGTGCAGAAGGAGTTAGAGCAAGCCCGCCTATCCCAGGATCAGGCCAAAGAGGAGCTCTGCAAGCTTCAAGGGCACTTGCAGGAACTTACCTCGCCCGACAGCAAATCCGCGCAAGAGCTTCAGGACTGGGTGAATTCCTCTCAAAGTTTAAGTTGCATGCCAACTGACCAAGGAGAGCTTCCTGACTTGTTTGACAATTGCGATTTTGGGTTCAGGGGTCCGAGTCTGGCCAAGTCTTGTCCTGCTCTGCAGTTTTTTCTTGGAACCGCACAAGTCCCCACCGTTTCAAATGCGGCGTCTCCTTTTCTTCACTGTTGGCACGTGTTTAATTGTTTTAGTGTTTTACCCGTTTCTAATCGTTTTTAGCAGGGGGCTGCAACAAAACATAGTTTGTGTGTGTGTGTGTGTTCATGTTTCGTAGGGGGTGTTAAATAAAAAGAAGAACGTTTTTGCAGCCATGCCAAGGGTTGTTTTGTTCTTTGGGTGAATTTTGCTTGGATGTTAGGATTTAACATTTTTTTCTGCCAACGAATGGGTTTCCATTAAACCACTAAAAGTTTAAACAACTTTCTGGGGAGCAGAATTCGCCACCGAGAGTTTTGCGGCTGCTTGGTGCTCCTTCCGTGGGCCGCCCGGCCGCCCTGCGCCAGGCCGTCAGGGAGAGCCAGGCGCTTGCCTTGACGCAGTTGGCGGCGGCCCAGTCGGAGGTGGCAAGTCTGAGGCAGGACTTGCAGGCGGGACGTGCCGATTTGTTTCCCCGTTTCCATCGAGCAGGTTGACTTATTTTAGGGCGACTTTCCGCTGGCTTTGGGAGCACCGGTGTTCAACATGTTGACTTTGGATGAATTTATTGGCCTAGTTGCACCCACCCAAGTCAACTCTGGATGAAGGGTGAAATGGTTTGCCTATTTGCACCCCTCAAGTCAACTTTGGATAACATTATTTGCCTAGTTTTGAGCGACTTACCCCCCCCCCCCGCCCAAGTCAACTTTGCATGACTTTGTCACTTTGTCTCCCTTTTTTTGGGAGCGACTTCCCGATGGTATTGGAGATCACCATGAAAGAAACTTCGGATGCATTTCTTTGCCGATTTTGTGCCGCGAGCCTCCTCACCGATTCGGGGGTGGAACGAGCGAACCCCATGATTACTTGATGCTGCTTTGCTTGGGGATCCGTTAGATCAGCTTTTGTTTTGTGTTTTTCTTTTGTAGAAAAAATGATTAGACCAATTGATATGTGTTCCAGATCCGCCAGACCCTTTTAGACCAGATGGCGCCTCGTCATTTCCAGAACCTAGCACCAGCAATCCTAACCATCCAAAAGTGGCTGGTGATTTTAATGGTGAGTTCCCGGATGAGGTTGAGGCATGGCGATGGGCTTTGTGAGACACAGGGGCCCAAAAACAACTATAATGGCGGATTTTAAGCATCACACGCGTTTCTTCCATTTGCTGAAATTACTATTTGTTTACACAATTTTGCCTGTTGGTTGTTTTTCAGGGAATCGATCACTACTGGACATATATTCATGTTTTTTTTTTTTTTCCAGGGGGCTTACCAAAAAACAAATCGAAGCGAATTCAGCAAGTGGTTCGTCCAAGGGTCCTGAGGTTCGGCTTTCGCAGGCGGAGAGGCAGAGCCCAGAGGCTCAAGCCAGGGAAGCTCTGCTGCGGGAGCTGCAGGAGGCCAAGGACAGAATTGAGCCGTTGATCAGCCATCCGGTTTGTTAGGTTTTTCAGATCTTTTTGGTGTTTAGTGGGGGGTTGCTAGTTCACCCACTAATCATCCGGTTCCTTAGGTTTTTAGCTTTTTGGTGTTTGGTAGGGATTTCCATTCACCCACGAAAAGTTGTTAACTTCTAGCGCGGGATCTGAGGGCAGCCCGGGTTTGATTTGTCAAATTCGGGGGTTGGACCACCCACATGCTAGCTGGTGGTTGCAAGGAAGCCGAACTGGAGGCTGAGGCTACCCAAAGTTGCCTTTGCGAAGGGAGCTAAAGAGGCACCGGCCTTGTAAGGGCATGGTGGCTTGGTGACTGTTCCTCTTGGTATGCCGTTTGAAACCCATCTAAAGCCTCAATGGAAGGCACACCCATCTCCGCAAACATAAAATTCCTTGCTGCAACGGAAACCTGGATGCCCCTCCCCCCGATACAGGGGGAGGGGGGGGGGAATAGGAAAAAGGTGACGCCAGATCACTGGGTCCTTTTCGATGTTGAGATGGCGCTTTTTGCTCGACTCTGAAGACTTCTCGCCGAGAGGCTTCATGTTTCCTTTCATGCCACGTACCGACTGCTCTTTGGACACGTGGGAGTTGTGGGAAACACGTTTGTCGACCCAGTGGCGCCCTGCTTGTGTGTTGGAACTGCTGCCTAACATGGGCTCACCAGAGATGACCAACATGTGGAGAGGAAAGCTGACCAAGCGAGTGGCTCCTTTCGACAGTGTCTATCCCCAACGCATGCAAAAAGGATGCCCTGTCCGTGCTGCACTGTCCCTTGGCCAGACAAAGGGGTAGCACGGAGGAAAAGAGAAGACATGGGACAACTACTCCCATTTTCTATCAAATGAATATGTTGATTTTTCTCTGTTGGTTTCAATCGGAATCAATCGATCACTACTGGACATAGTGTTTTTCCCCCCAGACTTAAGCAGATGGAAGACTACTTCCATTTGTTTAAGAGTATTTTGTATTTTTCCCTGTTGGTTTTAGAAGGAATCGATCACTACTGGAAATATATATATATATAGATATATATTCATATTATTTGTTTCCAGGGGGCTTAAGCAGGTGGAAGACCAGCAACCGGCAGCTTCTCCCAATGCCCAGGACCGGGCGGCGGAGCTGACGCAGCAGGCGCAGCAGGCGCAGCGGGCGGCGCGACCGGAGCTGCAGGCGCAAGAGCAGGAGGCGTTGCAAGGCGCTTGTGGGGCGCTCGCTTGTGGGGGGCTTATTTTTTTTTGGGGGGGGTGGAGTTCCATCCATGAACATAGAACCTCACAGGAAATTCCTGCAACACAAATTGTCCTTTAAGCGGGACCCTTGTTCCATGCTGGAGAGGGTAAAGCTCCTGTTGGTTTCCCTTTCGCAGAGCCACTCCTTTGGTCCCTCCCACCCCTGGTGGGTTATGGAGGATAAACCTCCACTCACTCCCTCAGTTCCTGGACTAGCGTTTTGGGGTTGGGCCATTCTTGCAAACAAACAGGAAGTGAGCTTTTGGGCGCCTCACCAAAACGCGATCCTCCAAACATGACACATCCAGTGCCCTTTGGCAGCCTGGTTTGAGAATCACCGTGTTGCCGCTGTTTCGTGAGTTCCTCTTGGTGGGATGATGTGTGAGGGGGAACAATATGGAGCCGGGGGGGTGCCATGATAGAGCTGTTCACGGGGTTGAGGAAAGATTGGCAGAACCAGTTGATCTCGTCTGTTGAAAGGAACCAACAAACAGAACAACGTAGATGTGTTTAGACAATGGTGGTTTAAACATATTCAGGCAAGGGCTTGGCCACTGAGCAGCTGAAACGCCGCGCATGTCCCTTGAAATCCTTTGGACAAATCCGGACTACCTTCCATATTAAGCGGCCAAGAAGCTTGATTGCTATTGGGTTTTGTTTTTTAGACTTTAACTTTTTGGGAAAGCTCAAGCAAGTTCAACTTTTTGACGATCCATCAGCCAGGCGAGGAATCAGCGCCGGATGCAGTGCCTGACGTGTTCGAGGCCCGAGCTGGAGTAAACGGCCAGATTGGCGAACCCTTCCCCTTACGCACATAGGTGTCCTTTTGGGTTGGTTTGTGTAAAAAAATAAAAAGCCCTGGTTTAGATGGGGTTCATTCCATTTACCAGAGCAATCTACTCGTCGAAAGTGCCACCTATGCTGGAATTTGTGGAGCTGCCATGGTGCATTTCTCCGTTCAGCGGCTTAAAACGTCACCTTGGCCCAACAGTGAGTTTCCCTTGGCAGTGTTTAAGTGGAAGTGGAGGGAACCTTGGCTGGGCGCTGCACAGCGTAGAATTTCGAATTTTCCCAACTTCCCAACAGGAAGCCAGACGGGGATGGGTACTTTTCGAACGTCCAGACCCCCTTTGCAGACCCTCAGTAAAGTAAATGGCACAATGCCCTCCTCCATGTTTGTTTAGTCATAGTCATACCCCCTCTTGCACCCGCACATTGGAGTTGTGCCATCTACTTTGACCCTGTGAGATGTACATACGGGGCCCACAATAGAGGACCCTAGGAATGTGGGTACTATTGAATTCATGTGTGGGAATGCATGCAGACGTCATCATTTGAGACCGTTTTTTGACTCACACTCTTTGCCGTAAATGTGTGGTCCCTGAGAGATTGCAGCTTGTTTTTGAACATATTCCAAGATGTACACCACTTACGTACATAATTTCGGCTTTGTGCCGAAGATGCATACAGCAAACTTGCAAACATACACACGCGCAAATATGTGCGTGCGTATGCCCAAGCACTCCATGTATCCATAAATTTACCCGTATGTACCCTCCGACTGGGTCAAATATACTGGATTAATTGAAATGGATTGTTTGAGATGCGTGCGCCAATTCTTGCAAGCTTTCCGCTGTTGCATTGTATCCACTAGTCCGGCTGTCATGCAACTAGCAAACGTCGCCCGATCATGAAGTCATTTGTAGACGAGGTGCTGCGGTTGGACTTCTACATGTGGCAGCCACGCCAGTCATGTGCTAATGTGAGTGACAGATACTGAAACCTCCTACTGTAAGGCGCCCTTTTTGTGCCACTGGATTTCGGTTGTTCCAACGTGTGCTTCCGCTTCTAGCAGTCTTTCATCATCGCGCCTGAAGATTCGCGCTGGCGGCGTGTGCATCAACATGCGTCAGCGTGATATATATATTATTTCAACGCATGAAACCACCACTTTACCAACGGGATAATTTGGAATCATGATCCCATGCACGTTTTCCTGCGAACCTACGCTCGAGCCAATTTGCTTTTTGTTCCGCGCACCTCTTGTGGCTGCTCCTGAAAACCAAGCGGACATTTGCTACGTGTCAGTAGTCCCGCTTTGTTTGTTTGCCGTGCCTTAGCCGTTGCGCTTATCATTCCAACTCGTGGTTCCGCGTTCCCTTCTAAAAAATGGCCCGGGTCCATCTGAAAAGTAGAGGAGCTGGAAACAGGCTCACATGCACACCTTGAAGGTAGTTGCCTCTCGAGTTGCACTTGTTTTTGCAACCCAGTGGGGATCCTTTCGGCAAATCATGAGTCTGGGTGAATTATAACGACCTCACACGACCGAATTCACCCCAAATGGTGGTTTATGTGGGGAATGGCCCCCCGACCGCCAACCATTTCAGGCTGGTGAAATATTATAATTCACCCAGATGAGTTCATGTTCCAGTCGCAGCATTTTTCAGATTGGTTGATCCAACTTCAGGTGAGCCACTTGCTCAAAACCCGGGTAGTTGAAGGTTACTAAGCGAGAATCCCCTTGCCAGAAATAGCTGCGGATATCCGCCTTCTTAATTCTTTACATGGTTCTGGGTAGACCATTTTGATATCTGGTTTTGATTATGACTCAGTTGGGCAATCCGCAAGATCCTTGCCATTTCCTTGCCCAAGGATTTGGTTCCGTAGTGGTTTCCATACAAAAAGATAGTGACTCAGGTGCTTTTCGCGCTCCAGGGCTCTCTGGGTTTGGAGTTCCGGGCCCTTGCAGCGCCCTATGCGCCTTGGCCGGAGGTTTTAAGCCGACCTTGGAGCAGGGCTCCTTAAAAGATACACTTTGCCCATTTGAAACATGGCCTTTTCCACCCAAATAAAGGGAAACCACCATTTACAAGGCAATGTTCAGGTGTATATTGTAAGGATCCCTGTTGGAGCAGGAATCTTAATTGGAGGAATGCCCCATTTTAGAGAACTCTGCGGGCAACGTATGTCAAGCAGCAAGACTCACCCGGCACTCAGAAACTCTATTTTGTTTTAAGCGACATCCTGAAAATTACCGTACCATTTGAATAGTTGTCTGTTCAAAGGTAATCCTTAATCCTTACCTGGGGTTACGCAAGGGGTAGTGGCTTTCCTATAAGGATTCTGGATTTGGATTGGCCAACCCTCCATTTTGAACAGCCCAGGTTGTTTAAGGGGACCCCAGGCCAAGATAAAATAGACTACAGCCACTTCAAGGGACCCATGTTTGTAGCCGCTTGACCGGACCCAGTTTTGGGCATTGCGAGGTTCATGACTTTTTGGGAGCCGAGCTCTCGCACTTATATAATTCATATGGATTTGTAACTTTAGTGCAAAAAAAACACCTGCATGCACATACGCTCACACGCATGCAGACATACACATATGCACACATACACACATACACACATACAGACATGTATATGCACACATAAGAGTCGTCCCAAAGGTCCTTGCGTTGAGATATGATGTGGAAGGCCAGTTGGTCTAGGTTTTGAGTAAGGGTGGCTTGGCAAAAGCAAGGTGGACTGATGACACATACGTATTTGCAGACTACGCGCAACATGTGCGCAGACTAAACTTGAGTTGGTCGGAGAAAAGCAGGGCCTGAGGCTTGCCGAAAGAACACGTTACTGCAAAAGCAAACCCTTACAGAAATCAGCTGGCTACTTGCCATTAGTTTGTTAACATTACTTTCGATTTTGACCTCAATTCGTTCTATTGTTCCCGGCAACCCCGTTTGCATCAGTCACGGCTTTGCAATAGCCGCGGTTCAGGCCCAATTTGGGCTTCTTGCCTGGCAATGGGCCAAGGTAATTGCCAAGATCCACGACTCCGGCATCGCTACCGGCCTCGGCATCTCCGAAGGCCGGGCTTCGGCTCCCGCAGTTGTACACCGCACGTTGTTAGAGAGCCAGTGGGCTCACAGGGACTGACCAACTGAGCGGACGTTTGCTGTATGAGCCAATTCGCTGGCCAAGTGCGTGGCGCCTTTTGCCTCATCGTTCCGCGGCCTTTGGGGCCCTTGGCAGTTTGTCACCGGCCCGCATGGCAGCTGGCCGCTGGCCGGTTGCGGAGTAGTCAGGTAAGACCCCCGCACCGAACACCGGCACTGCATTCCAGGTTCAACATGGCCCCATTCAGCTGGTGGGCTCCCTGCTAGGGGCAGGTTACTTCGTTGATGAAAAAAACCCAGGGGTTTTTGGCCAGAGGTCCCGACTTGGAAGCGGTGCGGGCTGTGCAGGCGATGAGCTCATTGCCGTGGCCGAGGAGTCGGTGGAGCAGGCCTCCTGGGAGGAGAATCCGACTCCGGGAGCTGGGTGCTCCAGTGGGCTGTTCAATCAAGCCACTTGCTCAAAACCGATTCGGGTAGATGAAGGTTAGGAAGGGACAATCCCCTTGCCAGAAATAGCCGGATAGCCGCCTTCCTAATTTTTTAAACATGGTTCTGGGTAGACCCTTTTACTACCGGGTTTTGACTCGGTTGGGCAATCCGCAAGATCCTTGCCATTTCCTTGCCCAAGGATTTGGTTCCGTAGTGGCTTCCATACAAACAGATAGGGATTGATTTGGCCGCCCCTTTGTAGTGCGGCTTCCATACAAAATCGGGATTGTGGATTAGGATTGGCCGTATTGCACATGCCCTCATGGAGTTCGGTCATGAATGTTGCAAGCTATTAGGACATGCGTGTGTATTCTGGTGCTGCATTGCGCCATGCTTTGGCGACAAGGACACTGTGTGGTGCTTGGCCCTTTTCGTTTTGTCGTGTGACTCCCCTAGCATGAGAGATCAGAGCTTGACTGAGAATAGGGGCCCACCAAGAAACCACACCCATAGAATCGGGGTTCAACTTGGGATACTTTAAAGCTAATGATTAGAGAATAAGGTGAAGGAGACTCGGCGGCTGTTTGGTTCGATCTTTATCGGAGCACGACTGCTTTCCCGCTAG